GAATCATAGAATCATAGAATCATAGAATGTTTTGGGCTGCAAGGGACCCTTAGAGGTCATCTAGTCCAACCCCCTTGCAGTGAGCAGGGACACCGCTAACTAGATCAGGTTGCTCAGAGCCCCGTCCAACCTGGCCTTGAGGAAACAGATCCTTGGATTATGAGGACCTGGTGCCCAAGACTCACCTGGCAGAAGTATGAACTGGACAAAGATTGCAAGAATACAAAGGAATATTTTAAAAACTAAACTGCATTGAAACTAAACTGAACTGAAAAAGTCAGTTGTGGCCAATCAGGATTGCTCTGAAGACATCCACAAGGGATGATAGGATTCCACAGCAAAATATGGATTTACTGGCTCTTACTAGTCAACTTTCAGTTTAAAATTCTTCCAATTTCATTGCTATATGCACTTCAAAAAGAAGTATTTTTTGATATTACCCAAGCACGTAGGAGCTGAAGTCCAGTTTCCCATAGAACAAGTTATCTCCGACAGTCCGTCTAACATGTATCCAGAACGAGAAACATACTTAAATCTAGCACCAGCCAAATACATTGTTTTCCCTTCTTTTATAATTTTTAAGTTTTGATTTTCCAGCTGGGGAACATCAGCACATTCTACAGGTTGTGGTGGCAAACATGGTCTTTCTAGAAAATACGGAAAACACAGATAAATAATTATGTCATTGCCTATACCCAGCACGGTTCCTCCCGTTTGCATTGCAACCAACAGAAATCCAGCCAATATGCTCAGTGGACTCCAAAGGCTGATTCACGAGACCAAAATGTAAGTATTTCTTCTGTGGTGAGATGACACTGTTTTTGTAGAGTGTCTTGACTAGATTTATGATACTGAGCATGACAGGAGCCCAGACAGCTAGCTCAGATACAGGCACCGAACTGTCGACTCAAAATTGAGATGACTCCTGTCACCCTTTTCATCTGTAAGTTTTTGGGTTCTGCACCAAAAGCTCTTCCTAGCTCTTGCCATTTTTGTTTTAAAACAACAGTGTTTTTCTTCTCTTCTCTCAGTTCCTCAGAAGAACTGACCCTTTTCAGGGACAAGTCAAGGGTAGAAGGAGAAGATTCCTAGAAGCTTTCATTCAAGTTTACCAAGCAGGGTGTCCTACTTGGCCATGGCAGGTGGGGTCCTCCTGAAATGCTCTGACCCAGAGCCTACATGCTGGGGCAGGGGAGATCACCCACTGGACAGATCATTCAATAATAAGAGAGGTGGTCTCAGAATGATACCTGAATTTTAGAACCCACACGTACATAGAGAAAAGAGTAATCCAGATACCAGCAGTGTACTTCTCGGGAATAGTTCAACTCATCCAAAGGTTCGTTTATAAGACTGATTTCAGCAGGGTTTCTCTCACACCCTGTTTTCTAAGTGTTTTTTTTTCTTTGTAGTGACCAAAGATCAAAGAGTGCTAGACTATGAAATCAATTGTTAATTTATTTATTTATTTGTTAACGCCGTGCCTACTGTGCAATCCTATCCTTGTAGGTAGGGGAAGCTTAAGCCCAGAAAGAACTCATAATCATTCAAGAATACCTTGGTTTCTTACTTGACAGGTTATAATAGGTAGAAGAAAACCTTGATTTTTCATAATATACTGACACACAACCATTACCTATGTTTTGTTTTGGTTTGGATACTTTAACGCTCACTATGTCCTCTTACCTGGACTGGCATGCTATACCTCAGGTGGACCACAAACCTTCCTGACAGGGAGCTGACAATGGCACTTTTTAACACCTACTTTCATAAAGACAGTCATAGATAATACCTGTGTTTATAAACATAATGTAAATGTAGAGTATACCATTGTTTCAAGAGGTGATTTTTCTAAACCGTCAAATTAAGCTTTACATTATGAAGAAACACAATGAACAAGCAACTCGCAGGTCTCATGCTTCTTAAGTTTTTCTCTTGAGCTCTTGTTCACCAAGGTATTTCAAGCAATGCTATGTATTATCTCTTCATTCATGAGAGTTACTTACGGACACAACCTGGATCAGGTACCCAGCCATCCCTGGTGCATTCAGCTGTGGTTTTGCCAGTCAGTGTTTTAAAACGATATCCAGGATTACACTGTATTGTGATGATATCACCTACTCCGTAGCTGTCTTCTCGAGGTCTAAAGTTCCCATTGGGAATTCTTGGAGGAGAGCATACAGCTTCTAAATAAAGAGAGAAAGGTTGGTTATGTAAGAGGAGAGTGACAGCTGTTACTGCTGTCATGCTAATTAGAAGATTAAAACTTAATTGCAAAGAGAGTGGTTGGAGCAAGAACTAGAGGTGATCTAACTGAATTTGGCTAATCTTTTCCAGTAGCTCATTCCACAGCTGGAGCCCAAAATAGCCTATGCTGGGCTTAGCCACAGCTCCCCTGGTCTGGTTTATAGACACTGTCCCAAGGGAGGGCAGGTTCCCTGACAGGTCCTAAATGGAGAAATAGCTATGCTTAATTAGGAACTGGTCATCCAAAGGCTGTGTGATTAAGATTAGGGTCTTGCACTTAAGATGGTAATATTGCAACAACTGAGAAAGTACGAGAATGCTATTCTAAGAAGCTCATAACATCTTTATGCCTGGAGAAGCCAGGCAAACACTTTATTTCTAAACCGGAGCCTGCCTTTTGGGGTTTTTTTGTATTCTACTTCCAACTCAGAAAATATCACCAACACACTCAGGGCTGGTAGGGGATGACTACAAGGTCATCAGGCTGGTCCTGATGTGGAGCGCAGGTGGGCCCATCAGCTGTATGCATGTACTGCTGAATCATCTAGGTTCAGTGGTAAGTCAAGTAGGATCCAGAACCACTGTCTGAATATGCCCCGAGAATCAGAGCCCAGTATATCGGTGTCTGGAAGAATGGGGGGTTTTGGCACTTGTAAGGTGCTAAACCGTAGGCAATGCATATTAATTAGTATCATTGCTAATCCTGAAGCACCAAGGTCAAGAACTGAGTGGGCACTTTCTGGAAGACGTCCCAGGAAGGTGGATGGTACATAACATGCTACAATGTTGCCCTGTTGCCAACATTTTTTTCCGGTTTCAAGTGTTTGGCAATTTCTGGAAGACAAGTCAAGACGCTAATGATTTCCCCCAAATTGACATGAAACTATTTCAGCTGGGTCATAACATGCATATTTCAGTTCATGGGATTTGGAGGTTATAGTTTTCAAGTGTTCTAGCTGAATGAAACTAAAGTAAAATCCATGACTCAGAGAGCGATGTCAAACGGACTAGCCTCCAAAGTTATGGATTTTTCATCTTAACTGCTCAGAAGGCATTTGGGTGTTAGAAAGCAAGAGGGAGTTTCAGCACTGTGAACACATTAATTTGTGGAGAGTCTCAGACAACTTCTGATGGCAAGTTTGAACATGATGGATAATGTGGTTGTGCAATTACAGTTCTGACAACATTGAACAAGTTGCTCTCTTTATTATAGACTAAGGGTCATGGACAGTGGCAGGATTCATGCATGCCATGTTACTTTGGCCTCAGTTTATACATCACTTCATGCTCATGTTCTTAGGATTACTGAGCTTCAAAGCTACGTTGTACACAGTTCTTGCCATAATGGCTGTGTAGAAAGTACTATTCTTTTCAGCTTTATCTATAATCCAGCACTACAAATCCATTGTCATTTTCAGCTCAGACACTTATGGCCATCAATGGACTGGCTACTTATCATTATCAGTTTGGACTACTTGTCATTTCCTCAAACTCCGTTGGAAATGGCCACAACAACTTCAGATTGTTCTTCCTACAACCCTATCTTACTATTTCAGAACAACTCTTGAAAGGCAGCTTACAAACTTAAGTCAGGATTTTAATTTGAAACAGACTTTGAAAGACACTTTTGTAATTTCCAGATGTTTCTGAAAGTTTGCAGAGTACACTAACAATTTCTTACTGAAGGTCCATCAGTGAAAAAGGGATCACCTTTAAATTGTTCCTCTTTGGTTCAAACTGGTTGATCAGAACCAGTAGTCTGGCAATTTCAAGACTGGATATCATGACTAGCAATCAGGTGCTCAGTCTGCTCAAACTACAGTAAGACTCATCAGGACACTCAGACAAAAGGCAGAGGTCAGTTCAGTGGGCGAGGCAAACTTCTGTTGTTTATGTTCATGTCAAACATGCTTTAAAAGGTATTGGGACTTGATCTGAAGACAAGGCGACCTCAAAAACCATACCACTTCTCCAAGAAGCTTGTTTCAAATGTTCACTTTCACATGCCACTAAAAATTTCTGATTCCTTCTGTACTCTTAATTTCTCGTGTATCAATGCTTTTTTTTCCTGCTTGCTTAAACATTCTTCTAAGTGTCTGATTTTTCCACTCCTTAGACAAAACATTTCCATCGTATTTTCTAGCAGGGGAAGAAATTCAGCTTCATCCTTCCTATCTGTCCAAATTAGGATTTTTTTCTAACTCAAGAGATCTTTTTCCTATGTTCTCCCCACTACCTCAGAATCGTATAAACAACAGAATAAAATAACAGCTACTAATGCTGCATGAAGCATTTTAGCATCAGTCGCACTTATGCAGTAAATTGGTGCTTTGTGAACCCATTTCACTACACTCCAGTAACAAAAGACTGAGCTGTTCTTCCTACTGTGCTCTATAGAAAACTCTTACCCACTTGTTTGGTCCTCTAACACTTAATCCTTCCAGATCTTCATGAAATATTGGTCAGACGTGGGTTTTGTTATGAATAAACCAACTTTTGTCATTGCTAATCTCTGAAATTACTTCCAAACACAGCAAATGTGCAAAATAACTTTAGGCAGGGCTAACCTATGCAATAGGGGGTTGGATTCCATCCTGATTCAGTACATTTTACATCAGCTCTTTCACCGTATTTGTAGCCTTCGTCACAGGCAAACTGTAGTTGTTCAGATTCCTTGTAAGCCTCCTTTGGAGAACGTACCTGTCCGTGCAGAATTTTTGGCACATCACAGATAGTCTCTGAAATTGAGAAAGACAAAATCCATGTATTTTTGTTTATTTTTATTTGCTGAGAAAAATGCCTACTGGAACAAGAGTTAGGGTTTTTTTCATTTGACTTCACAAAAACATTTGCATTTGGAAACTGTTTGAAACTTATTTGAGAACTCTTGTATGACCTGATTGTGGGTGCCAGGTAGAAAGTGTGGCGGAGCATAGCATCAATAGCAAATTGGTCCATGAGACAGATTTCAGGACTTTGCTTTGGATTTTAATGATCTCAGAATCAGTAGGTAAGGCAGGGGACATTCTAAAATAAGCTACTAGGCTAGCTGAAATTTAGCATTTTCAATTTTTCAGATAATTTCATTTCCTTGTAATTTCCAGCAAACCTAAAGCTCTCTCATAGCCAGCAGATGATTAGTTAAATCATGGCATCAAGTGGAAAAAAGAATTAAACTATCTGGGAAACTGACACTAGAATGCTTCACTATCTATAAAGGAACCTCAGCATACTCAGCTCCTTGCTAAACCCAATAAAACCACTGAGATCTTGCAGTTTCCAAAAACTGCATCATAAAGCCAGAAAATATTCAAGGCTTTGTTTGCCAGGCCACAGAGCAGGACACCAAAGACTTCTCTTGGATTCTGTTGCTGGATTTACTTTGTATTGAGGATGAAATATAGCTCAGTGAAACTGTCATTTTTTAATAAAATTAACTATGTTCTGCAAAAGTTACAAGCACATGTGTTTAATCACACTTAATACTTTTCAAATTATAATAAATGGGTGTGTCTCAAAGCAGCTAAATGCAGCTCTGAAATTGTGAAGAAAAACCCCATACATGTATCCTGACACATGTACTCCGCTCTTGGAAATGCATACTTCCAGATCAGGTAACATCTAAATAATCTAAGAAATTGATGGACTGAACATTTAGTAGTGATTGTTACCATAAACTTCCTGGAATTGATTCTTGCATACTGACAATCCAATCCCATACAAACTCTATTTATAAAATGGGAGGGGTAGCCCCATTCACCACTATAAACTGTGGGCAGGGCAGGGTTGGGTTGTCTGGCTGAAAAGTAGTTTTGCAGAAGAAAATTTGGCAGTCCTGATGGACAAGTTGAACAGGGTCTAGCAGTGTGCCTTCGAAGCAAAGAAAGAAAACAGCATCCTGGGCTTCATTGGGAAGTGTGTTGCTGGCAGGCCAAAAGAGGTGATCCTTCGCCTCTACTGAGCACTGGCCAGACTGCTGTGTCCAGGGCCTGAGCTCCCCAATACAGGAAAGACATGGACATACTGGAGCAGGTCCAGTGAAGGGACATGAAGATAATTAAGGAATCAGAAAAACTGACAGATAAAGAGAGGCTTAGAGAATCTAGAGGGAAGGCGGCTTGGAGGGAGAAAGCATCTTATTAATGTGTATATGTATAAATTCCTGACTGTGGTGGGGCAGCAGAAGTAAAGATGATGGAGCCAGACTCTTATTGGCACCTGGTGACAAAATGAGAAGCAATGGGTACAAACTGAAATACAGGAAATACCACTTAAACATAAGAAAAAAAATTTTAACTTAACAGTGGTCAAACATTGGAATAGATTACCCAGAAAGGCTGTGGAGTCTCCGTCCTTGGAGATGTTCAAAAGCTGACTGGCCATGGTCTTGAGCAACTTGCCCTAGCTGACTGCTTTGCTAACCTATTCTGTGAACCTGTGGTTCTGTAAAAACTAAACATGAATTAACCTTCTAACTTGTCAAAACACATTAGTCCGAAGAAAGAAAAATCCATCATGATTTCTTTGTATTTGATATATCCTAAGAGCATGAGTGAATTAAAATGATACTTGTTTTTTAAACTTGGTTCACATAGATTCAAAATTGTAGGTACTTTGGTTAAATCAGCACTGAAGTGATTTAGTATTATGTAGACATACTAAAGCTAGTTTCAAAGAAATTGACTGCAGCCTGGCAAAACATACAGCTTGTAGTGAAAATGTGGAACAAACAGATGGTCCATTATGACTATGTTAGCACACAATATTCTCTGATTTCTTTTTCTTATCCTACTTCTTCTGCATGTATGCCATAGAGATTGTTTACAGACAAACTATGCTTAATTGCTCTGGAATAAAGTGAAAGTTTTGTAGTTTCCCATATGCTAACCATTCCTTAGAAATCTGTGAGAATAGTTTCTTAATTACAGATAATAAATAATGTCCTTTTTACCTTGGCACTGAGGCACACCACTATTCCATTGTCCATTAGAAGAGCAAATTAGTTCTTTAGATCCGACAAGCTTGTATTTTGCATTACATTCAAAATTTACAACCTGGCCAAAGGAATATTCTTGGCCTAGCTCAAATACACCAGTCATAATTATTCTTCCATTTTCTGGTGCTTGTACAGGTAAACACTTTGCCACTGGAAAATAAAACAAAACAAAAGGAAAAAACCAGCCATTTTGAGGTCTATTCTGTAAAATAAATCGACACACAAAAAAGTTAAAATACAGAAAACTCACTGTAACTTCCTTACACATTTAAAAAATATACACCCTTGTTATGTATTCAGATACCATTTGCAACAGATAGATAGAATACAAAACTCTAAGCAAAAAGACAGCCTGACATAGGAGGAAAATTGTAGACAGGCTCTCATCATCCTGAAGGCTAATGACAGAGCACCCACTGAACTAGATAACCTCCTGAGGTCTCGCCCAATCTAAATATCCTATGATCCTCTGAATTCTATGGATGGTTAGATGAGCCTTGATTGGCACATAGGACCATTAAACTTTGTCAAAATAGGTTAATCTACTTCAGAGCTATGCCAAACTGAATTTGCTATAGACAAATATCTGGAAAAGTGCTGTGTTATAGACGGACTACAACAGTTCAGTTACTAACTAAAATTTGTAGTTAAGGATATCAGAACAATTATATCACTAAAGTAAACAAACACAATGTCAGACATGAATTTAGACCTCTTCTATCTCCTAACTTTGTAACTGCAGAAAAAGGAAGAATCAACATATGTCTTATTATTAAGGGGGAAATGACTATCAAAGCTTAAATGTTCACATAGATATCACTGAGCATGTATGAAAGTGGCTGGTGTTTTCCCTACCATAGCTGCCACTTATCTCTGACAACATTCTCCATCTTGTAAGCCATCTGCCTTTTCTATGATTTCACATTCTATCATCCAGGTCCTTCACAATTAGGACATTATACAAATACTTTCTTTCATAGGCAATCATTTCAGCCTAATGAAAACTCCTCAATCATGAAAGAAAAATCTTAGGAGGACTTTACAGTTGCAGTATCTTGGTGGCATGTGACAAAAAATGTTGGAAACCATTGCTCTATATTGTGCAGATAGAGACCTGTATGCCTAAAATTGAGGACACTCAAAATCCAGTTAAGTAAATGCGAAATATCTGAGACCAAGGAAATGTCAAAACACAGGCAACAAACTCTAGACAAGAGAAAGATATCTATGTTTATTTGTGATTCTTTACTTAAAGACCCTTCTCTGACATTAGATGCTTAACCTAAAGAGAAATTTCACCACTGCACACCACTTAAAAAAATATCTTTGGGAAGAAAGGAAGCTTATTTTCATAATCACATAGGTTCGAAACTGGTGAAAAGATTTCCAAACTCAGGGAATTATCATCTGAGCCATGCAGTCTATTAAGTCTTGAGGTCTGGGTCTCTCTTGTTCTCATTTTTACTTACTGAAGTTCTTCCACAGTATGTTGACAGGGAGAAGAACTTACAATAAAAGCTTAATGGCTAGGATATTCACAAGTGTGGAAGAGGAAACTAGCTAAAAACATACACGCTTTCACATACATTTAAAATGTCTCACCTCAGCTGTCTTTTGTAACCATGTTTTGCAGACGTCTACTCTATCAGGGCCTTTAGGTGAGGCAGAGCTTTAAGGCAGACTGGGGGTGACAAGACTCCATTTTTGTGAAGGCTTTTTAACAAAAGCTTGAGTGCTTATTAGACTAAAATGGCTGAGTAGTCATTGTAAGAGTTTCACTGCTGCATAACAAATTTAAACGTATGTGAATTAATACTAGTAGAGAGATGACAGACTAGTTCTAGATAGTATCAGACAGATAAAAAGACAGTTTGATAAAGAATTAAATGTCAAACTCCATTTACCTTCACAGTGAGGGATGTCATTGCTCCATCCATCTGCCTGACACTCACGGTAATTTCTTTGGCTGAGCATCTGGTATCTTACCAAATAAAAAGTAAACAATGCTAAAATACAGTCTCATTATGTGATAGAAACAGCAGTGCTGCTGTTTTTGAAACAAAGGAAGTAGATTTTATATGTTCTAGCACAGAACAACCAAAACATGACAATACTGAGTAGTTTTTTTGCCTGCATCTTCCCCATTTTTTTTCTTTTAATTGCATATGGCAAAAATTATGAAAAAAATCCAAAAGTAGAAAGTAATCAGTCAGATGGCTTCTTCGTTACAGAGATAGCAAGCTTTGGCTACATAAAAAATAACCTAGGGGTAATTTACACAATCAATAGCAAGCAGAGTAAAAATCCTGTCTGTGCTCTAGTATGACTGAAAGCCATGTAACAGCATCAAAATAGGACTTAATCCAGACCATATCTATCTCATGCTTTGATGAGCTAGTATTATCTTAGGTTTGAGGGCAACAAAGCCACAATCCCATGACTTCTGCTTTGTCTGACATGTAGTCTGAGGAAGTACAGCTAGTCTGAAATGACAGTGAAGAACTGAATTTAAGGGATTAAGGAGAGTATTGATTTTGGAATGCTTTTTGTGGAACTCAGACTAGATTCCAGCAATACAAAGACTGCAAAAGCATGGCTAAACTGCTGTACCTTGCTTATAGCTGATCTGCATTTCAAGAGGAAAGAATCCAGTCATAAGCATACTTAACTAAGCATAATACTTATACTTTCCTTGCTGCAGTTTTCATTGGAGAAGATGAATTGGGGAGGAAGACAGAAGACTTTTTTCCCAAGCAGTCAGTGAAGACATGTTAGTGAGTCTACCAGAAATGTCTTCCTTCTAACATTTTTTACAATACATTTTACTTTATATTGCACAAAAACTATTTAAGCAGGACTGATGAGTTGTGGTTCTGAATAGGAGACTGTTGTATGGCCTAATGACTTCGCTAACATAACTGCATCATGACTGCCTACTGAGAGCACTGATTCCAGTGCAGAAAGCTGCATTTCCATCTGAACTGGCTGGCTGGTGGAGTCATGAGGCAGCTTTACAGAAAGATGACTAGTTTTATACTCTACTTGGACAGCCATGATTTCATGTTAGGTATAAGCCTTATGTATTTTAGATACTTTGGATGACAGCTTCAGCTGCATGAGTTCAGTTACTCCAATGGCACCAGACATGAGGAATAGTTATGTTCAGTATTACTGTAATTGCAGAAATTTAAATTAAACAATAACCAAGCATTAAATATTAGTAAGTTGCAGCTGCATTACAGGCAACAGATCTATAACTGACACTTCTTTTAACATTAACACCTTATGTTAACTCCCATATATTGAATAAGTATTACCCATCATTACATCTGTACTCAACTCTGGCACCAAATACAAATTCACTTCCACTGGTAAGTTCAAAAGAACCAAACTCAATATCTCCAGGATGTCCACAGGGCTTATCTGGTAAAAAAAAAAAATAAAAGAGGAAGAAAAAAAATTACTTACACCATACATAACAATGTGAAAGTGTGAAAGATAGCACTTTTCTAGTGAGTATGGACCTTTCAAAAATACGAAAATGCTCAGCATTAGCTTGATTAACGCGCCCTTTTTTAAATCACTATCTTCAATGAGAACATATTGGAGTAAGGATCTGCTGATTTAAAAAAAAAAAAAGTAACAAATTAGCAGGTTTTATTCCTTTAAAAAGGCTGAGCTCTCTTAAGTTTTATGAAAAATTGAATGGCAGGATATAATTTCAGCTTTTCATACAACTTGTGACATAAACTCATCCAAAGCTCCTACTGCAGTATCCATCCATGACTGGAAATAAAATTTCCTCAATCTGATGGAGATTGTGCTTAGTAAAGATGGATGATCTAAGACAGGAGTCTTTTGGTCCTCAGTCCTTTCTGCTCAAAGTTCCCCATAGGACTTTTCTTGTGGTCTGGCCCTAACTATTTGTCCTGGATTTCCAAAAGAATTCCAAAGATGAACACACCATCCTCTCGTTCCACTTTTGATGTTATAATACAGACTGCAAAATAAACTGCATAGCTAAAACCTATTAGGCCACCTCAGAAGAAATCTTTCCTGGGCCCTGTTGATGTAGGCAATTTCATTTCTTGGAGCGTATCAACATCATGTTTTTTCCAAGGAAGAGGTGTTTGAGTCGGCCTAAACCTGCTCCAGTGTGATTCAGAGAAAACGGACAACCTCATGATCAATTTTGCTCTCTACTGTGGCCTATTCTGAAAAGGGAACATGACCACTTAACATGTGGCAGACCATCCCTTTTCTCCTTCCACGTGTGCATTACCAGTGTCAGTACCTATTCACTGGGTGGCAGTATTTACTAGAATACGCTACTAAAATGAAACACTAAATTTTGTATAATTTGAAAGATCTGTGTTCACTCAGTAGTTATATAAATACATAAAAAACCTGAGAAGGTAACTAAATAAAAGATGTAAAAGAAACTAGTAACAACTTTATTAACTAATTTTTACTCATTATTTGTATTCATCTCTGAATGACATCTGGGGCTTAATTTTATATTATCAAACCAAACATTTCTATTCTACTAGCAAAAATTTTCTATGTTAGATATGTGAGAAAAAAAAGTTTGTGTGTCTAAAATTTGTGTCTAAAACTCATTTATTACAGAAAAGAAGTATCTGCTGATTAAACATAATAAACTTCAATTTCTTCACTAATGAATTCTGTATGAGGGTGTGAGCTACTTCTAAACTCTTAACACAGTGTACTATAGATAATAAACAGCGTCTCTCATCCTAATAATGAGTTTTCCTTCACAGATTAAGAGAGAAGGCAGGGAAAAATAATTTCACACTTCCAAGAAATTATATCTTTCATACAGCTAGTTGAATAAACTGAAAAGAAAACAGTACTGTCTCTTGATTCAGATTCAGAAGCTAGGTTAGTGCTTTATTCTGCTTAGACTGTAAATTTCACCTGCATTGACTTTTTCTAAAATTTTGGCAGCAAGCTCCTAATAACTTAATAACTTAACTTAAATCAGGTTAATAAGGCTGACCTAGAGCAAGATATTCTCTTGTAAAGAAAAAAAAAATCCTTTGATCTGGAGAAAAAGAACTTCCAAAAATGTTTCCTTATGCATACATACTTTTTAGAATGGTATTTTGAAGGATGCTGAAATAAGTAAGTTATAGGTAAAGATACAATGACAATTTCACATTGGTATCACTGGCAAGGAATGCAATCTTTCAGGTCAAATGTTTGCACATATTTTGCATAAATACTTACTTCTGCATTCTGCCCCTGGGAGCCGTTGCATCCATGCTCCATCAGCACACTCAAACACAATTCGTCCAAGTTTTATATATCCAGGCCGACATCTGTATGTTACTTGAGTACCATGTGGATAGGGAGGTTTGTCCCATCTTTCAGTAGGCACTTCTTTAACCCTTCTAGGAGGAGGTTCTTTACAAGCTGAAAATTGTAAATAAAAATATTGATGACTGAAGCACATGCTAAAACACCAAAATAATTTTACAATAGAAAATGTAGCAAGAAATCCTGGGGACATTTGTGATTAAATGAGCATACATTTTCCACCTAATCATCACAAAATGGGAAACTGCTAAGAATCCACATTTTGTAGGAATATGGATAGACATTTAGAAGAACATAAGAACAGTCAAGCAAGTGCCAAGAAACTCAAGGGACAATCATAATTCACTAGATAGATTTTAGTTACAAAGAGTGAGATGAGACTAGTGCTCTGATTCTAACCACAGACATCTCTTATCCTTCCATCTGCAGAAGCTTCTTCTTGCTTGTCTTTCCATTACCACAGAGATCAACTCTTTGCATTCTGTAGCATTTCCTTTCAAACTATTTTCTTCTGCAGCCATGACCATCCTTAATGACATTAAGTTCATGTGCCACTTGACCAAGTTCTGTCAGATCTCCCCTCACTGTTACATTGCCTAAACTTTCTCTCCAGCTTGAGATCACCTGATATTCCAAAACTTATTTCCTCCTGTCCATGAGATTACTTCCTATGACGAGTTACTTATTACACGATGTAATTAATTCTAGGTATTCACTTTGACCTCTGTTAGCATCAAAGCATTTTGACTCTATTTGAGGGGTGGATGGTGTTGTCTGATATTTCTCATTAGGATGATATTATACAGTCCTTCCTCAAAAACTCCTTCGTGGGCCTTCTTCAGTGTTATGAAACGTACAGCCAAGCCCATATTAATTACAAGCAATGAGCCTGAATTAATTTTGTTAAGAAGTTCCCCAATAGCTTGAGAATGAGAAAAATCAGACTAAAGGGGAAAAAAACAAAGGTTGGGAAGCTGTCAATGAAAGCCTAAACAATCTTTGTTAAGAAACATTTTTGTTGCTGTTGGTTATAATAATTGACTTAATTTCAGTGACTAATTCTCTGTGCCTGGGTAACTGAAACACACTTATTTTAAAGGCTGAAGCTTTACCCAGGGTAACAGTCTGGACAGTCTAGCTAATTAGATTCAATGAAGTCTGTTTTAAATGAAAGATGAGAATTAATCAAGAATAAATAAAAAAACCTCTGAAAAATGAAGCCTTTGAAAAGAAATGAAACTTCTGTATAGAAAATAAATGGGAGGAGAAATATCCACCAGGGAAAGAAATTTCTTGGTGAGTAGATTCATTACTCAGTAGAGAGTTGTGACAAAAGTCCTCTCACTAGTTTAGTTGTAAGGCCACAGGTTTGAGAAAGCAGGAATACCATCACTGAAGCTTTCCTATGGATTGTTAAGTGCTGCCTGAAAGTGGGACTACAGGAAAAGTATTTAGGGTCTTCCATCATGTGAGGGATGTGGAGTTAGGGCTTGCTGAACTAAACTGTGGAGATCACAACCACAGATTAAGTAGCTGTGATTTCCAATACAAAGTGTTCAGGTTAAATACTCATTCTGCCACATCCAAGTGTGGAAAGTTGTGCTGGTTTTGGCTGGGATAGAGTTCATTTTCTTCATAGTAGCTAGTATGGAGCTATGTTTTGGATTTGTGCTGAAAGCAGTGTAGCTAATACAGAGATGGTTTAGTTATTGCTGAGCAGTGTTTACATAGTCAAGGCCTTTTCTGCTCCTCACCCCACCCCACCAGCAAGGAAGCTGGGGATGCACAAGAAGTTGGGAGAGGACACAGATGGGACAGCTGACCCCAGCTGCCCAAAGGGATATTCCATACCATATGACATCATGCTCAACATATAAAGCTGGGAGAAGAAGGTTTTTTTTTTGGGAGACGTTCAGAGTGATGCCGTTTGTCTTCCTGAGTCACCGTTACATGTGATGGAGCCCTGCTTTCCTGGAGATGGCTGCACACCTGCCTGCTAGTGGGAAGTAGTGAATGAACTCATTGTTTTGCTTTGCTTGTGTGCACGGCTCTTGCTTTACTTATTAAACTGTCTTTATCTCAACCCACGAGTTTTCTCACTTTTAGTCTTCTGATTCTACTCCCATCCCACTGGAAGGCAGTGAGCAAGAGGCTTAGTTGCCAGCTGGGGTTAAACCATGACAAAAGTGAATTTTACTTTAGTTGTACAAAGACAAACCCTTGACCACTCACTGGTTTTATTTCAGTTAGTGGAATACCTTCCAAATTAGAGGCATAATTTTAGAAATTTTTTAAAAATCAGGAGAAAGATTTGCTACAAGAAAAAAACCTGTATAATTCTAAGTGTAGCTATGGCATTTTCGAAATATAAAGAATGTTAATTGTGAGATGTAATACCTTTATTCTGGCTGGCTTAAGTAGCCAGAAGTAGACAAGCTTTGACAATACTGCTGAGTGCTGAAGGAAGAGTATGTGCACACATTCGCGTTTTTTCCAACTACTTAAATAAATATGCTTCCTCCTACAAATGATTACAGCTGAGTAAAATTTATTGCTTCTGTCCACTAGAGGGCACTACCCTACTAGCAAAAAAAGGTAGCAGGGACATAGCAAGATTGACACATTCAGTTTTTAACAGCATTTTTGCAAATGCACGAATAAGTGAAATGAACAAGATTTCTCTAGCTAGTTCTGTCTTTCAGTTGTGTTAAAAATGGTTAGTTTATCCCCAAAAGGTTCTTTGTAATGGTGAGATAAGGGATTTCTCTAATTCCTCATATTTTTCATTAGAGCTCATTAAAAGTAGTACTTTCAGTCTGCAGGCTGAGAAAGCACACTCTGAATTACATGATTTAAAAAATAGGCTGTTTAGTACAGGGAGAGCTTCTCTGCTCTATTCCTCCCTTACTTCTGAGTTGTATTATATTTTTATTGTCTGTTGTGCAGAATTGGGGCCTCTTAACTCCTTGTTTCCATTTAAAAAAAAAGGCATGAAAAAACCTCCAGACAGTCTCTTCATTATTACTAAGACATGAGTCCTTCTTCCTTCAACTCTCTCTGATCGTTCTTTACCACTCCTGCCCTGATGTCAAACTATGTGTTACCATCAAGTGTCACAATATGTATATGTATTTCTGTCTACAGCTAATAATTCTTTTTTTTTTTAATGCAGTTTCTTAGTAGCTTGAGAAAAAGAAATCTGCTGACGTGATGTACTTCAAACCTATATTAATTACATCATGCACTCACCATGTGTACTCACCAAAATTGGGATGGTTTTATTTTTATATTAGGAAGCATGCACAAAATGCATACCTTTAAATCCTTTAGTGAGAGACCAAGAGAGCTGGAATTAATCATTTAGTATTATATGTGACTTGACCTCAGTTAGAAATATGTCCGGCTGCTTTCTTGCTGTCAGTCATTATGCTGGTACAAGTTCCATAAAGTCAAGCACAAACTACAAATTCAAGTAGAAGTATTTTTCAGCCCTTGTGCAAAACCTGAGCTCTCAAACAACTCACACAGACTTTCAATATGGAGCTTGAACTAAGAACCCTGTACGACCTGTGGTAATAGTTGTCCCGGATAAATCAAATATTGCTACATTCACATTCCTTTGCAATCTCTCTGATCTAAAGACAGCATTGTGAAAAGGAAGTGCAAATTCAGACAAACTTTCTTTTCAAATTCCAGGACTTTTCTGGACTACTTTGCAAACAAACTAGACTTTATTAGTTACTTTGGAGCAGTATTTACTTTAAGTATATATAAAAAGGATAATACGTTTCATTAACGTTCTGATTTTTCAAAGTAAAACCCATCAAATTGTTTTGATTAATAAAGGTCTTTATAATCTTCACCTAAAATGAAAAACAACCTGAACCGAGCAGACACTCTAGCTCAAAACCACATAGGACCTTTTCCACAACAATCAATGTAAAGAAATCCAGACAGAAAACAAAAGAATTAAATCACTAAACATACATTAAGCAATGCAAACACAATATCAAGAAAAAAAAATTGAACAGAGAAACAGAAAATACCAGGGGCTTCTGAAAAGATACCCAGACTACTAGCTACCTCTTTAAACATATACAGAAGCATACCTGTATACATATATCTCATTTCATGGAGTAAAATATCAATAGATATTTTGTAAGCTTTTCAGTCAATTTAGTAATCATTCCCCTTTCTCAGATTATCGCACAGATTATTCCAGACAGAAAGAAATCCACATTGATTGAATATTTTCTATTTTAATCTACCAGCTGTTTATAGGTTTTAGATCTTAGAATAATTAACAAACATAATTAATAACAAATGAGTTGTCTGGCTCTAGTTTAAAGGGATAGTAACAATTTAAAAAGTTGTGCAACAGATTAATAAGAGCAATAGTTATCCAAAAACTAGGTGAAATAATACTTATGACAGGATACTAAATACTAAAGGTGCTAAATACTGCCAGAAGAAATCTCAGTTATTGTTGTCAGAAGTTCATTAAAACAAGTTACAATGGAAACATTTTATTTACATATTGTTTTAGTAATCATCTTCACATAGACTTTAAGGAAGCTTTTTTTTTCTCCATATTATAGCTTACCTCTTTCTGCAGTACAATATATCCAACATAAGAGCAGAGTTGTATAGCCCAGGAATGACATCCTAGACATTCAGAAACTCAGCAAACATTTAGTACTGTAGCCTACTACTTTGATTGCTTTGTGTTATTTCCACTCCTATTTTACTCACTAACTGCTCCAGGGCCTGACCTTGCAAAGCATTTATACTCTGATTTCAGCAACCACTTCCCCTAATTCTCTTGCAACACACAAGTGTTTCTTTTTTTTCTCCTCTCCAAACTTTGCTAAATGAATAAATAAATGTCTGGCAATTTTGGTTCCCTACAGTCTGCTTGTTTTTACATCACAGCTAGTTTTTTTTTCATATTAATCCCTTCCATACTCAGATAAGCTTATTTCTTTTGGTATCCAAAAGATGTTGTACAAATAAATTATTCTGCGATTATGTGATTTGGTTTCTATGCTTAGTTAAAAAACAGAAATTAACATTACGTGTGTGTAAAAAAATGAACTTCTCTACTATATGCATATCATTCAAGATCTATGTGGAAAGCAATTGAAATAAAAAGCAGACATAAATACAAAGTGATTTACTAACCCACTGGCTCTTATATAAGATAACCAACTACCGAGAGCAAAGGAAATGTAGTTGATCAAATACTTGATTAAATAAACCTAGGTGATGTTGAAGCACTTGTTTTGGCACCACGTGAGAAATGGTAAGATGGAGAAGATGTGGATGAAATGTAATGTGGATAATGAACTATCCAAAGAAAAATAATAAAGTTTGTGCTAAAAGAAGAACTACATGGCAAACTGGGCTAACAGAGGAACTCCTTGTGGACTCATGTGAGCAACAGCCTTATTGATATTTTCATTAAACATCTTGGCTTTATAAGAAGTGTACTCCAGTGGAAATACAGATCATATGAAGAGAATTATTTGATACTGAGAACTAGGGAAAAAAATGTAAGAGTAAAATGTGCTCTCAGAAGATTGACACAAAATGGCTGCACACTAGATACCCCACAGTGGTGTTGTCTGACTGGTATGGAGTATACACAGATCGATCTTGTATATGCTCCCAAAAGACCACATAACATACCCTTAAAACCACTGGCTTAGTTAGCCTACTGATACAGGATAATAAAGAGTGTGTTTAGAGAACACATCTCAAATCAAACCTGAATTCCAAAGCAGTTACATTTTTTTCCTCTCAAAAGGCAGCTAGAATTTTATTTTTTCTTTGACCTGGGCTGTGTTTTCAGTTACCAATTCTAAGGAATAGTCTTAGTGAAAACTGTAATTCAGCTGTTTTACCTACAAGAAATCTTCCAGACAGCATAACGTCTCTTCCTTCCCTCCCCCTTTATCTTGCCAAGTGACTCGTATGTGGAGAACGAACCCTCACTCTGGTCCATGACCCTGTGATGATCAGTCTGCATCCATTTTGCAGTTACTGGTGCATACCTGATCAGTAGAAAGATAATTTTGCACCTGCCTAAGTTGAATTCTGAGAAACAGCTCCCCACAGAACTTCCCTGACCAAAACTTTAATTCCTTTTGTTCTGTGGTAGGGAACCGTGTTCTGATGTGCACACCAGTGCTCTAACTGCACCAAGACAGTCCCACTTGTATTCTCTGCACCAATCTTACTGCATTACTGTTAGGCACGCATTTGCACGCTTCCATACTAGTGGGCTGCTGGGTGCAAAAGCTGGTTTCCTTGCAGTGGTGAGGAACTTAAGAGAGTTTAACCTTCCCTGTCACAGCAGTGGTACTAACTGCTTTTCAGCTGTATCATTGACACTGCTGCTTTCTAATTCCTTAACCCCTGAGGGAAGCTCGGACAGCAGGAAAGACATTGAGGCAGAGTGCTAGGAGGCACTCAGATTCCAACCCAGAGACAGTGGCTCAAACCAATTAGTTGTAAAAATCCGTGCTGCAGGCATGGGTTCTGTAATTTCTCTAATTTCAGGACTGTTTTGACATTGTATATTCTGATGTCATGAAGCTCAAAGTGGTTCAGATTTTACCAAACTGCTTTTCTGTTATTAAACCACTTGCGAAATCATTACAGGCTTGAAACACAAAGATTCTTTCAGCTACAGCTGAACCAAAACTGGAACTGAATTGAAAATTTACCATAAATTTCCTGACCGACTCTCTGAATACAGGCAATGTTAAAAATATTTCAGCTAAAAGATAACATCAGCACACAAGAGCAGATAGATATAAACTTAAGCTGAAAATTAGAAGAATCACTTAAATAGTGAGGCTTTGAAGTAATCTTTGTATAGGCATAATGTAGGCCTATACAAAGAAACTACCTTTGATCACAAAGGAAGGGACCAGACTCAGTCCTTTCCAGTCTTATTTGTGAGCCTCTTAAGTCATTGATTAAACTTAAACTTAAAATTAGGATCTTAATCTTTCTTCCCTTCCCCACCTCTTCCATGGGCTATCGATTGATTCAAAACTAATGTCTTTAATCATGTCTGAGTTACTTCGTCATCTCCAGCCTCTAACAAAACAGAGTGCATAGGACAACCATGTCTCAGGACCTCTAAGGCAGGCAGAAAAAGTCATCTCTAGCGTACCCTTACCTCCAATTGATAGGAAAGGCAGAAACATCTAAGTAGTTATGCAACCAAAGGCAGCTGGATTTTACCTACGGGAGCAGAGCTATTGCTTTGAGAACTGGTGTGACCATACTGAAATATTGCTGTGGGCACAGCCAGACAGCCAAAACATCACCACATATTCCCTGTGCTAGCAAAACTGCATGTCAAAATACAGGATCATAGGAAAGTTCAGGTTGGAAGGGACCATGGAAGTTATCTTGTCCAAAATTTCTGTACAAAGTACAGTCAGTCATGGGGTTACTCAAGTTACTCAAGACTTTATTCATTCCCTGCTCAATGTGGAGGCTTAATATCAAAATTCAGAGTGTTTGTTCAAACCTGAATGACTTTGGGAACAGTGTTTGGAAGCCATTTTGTATTAGGAAGACAGATCTGAGGAAGTCAGTGTCTTCCAGTAGAGAACTAGTGGTGACAGTAATAGGAGCTTAGTTAGTCACTGCTGGAATAGCATCTCTGACCAGTATAATTTCAGCATGTTCTAACGGCATGCTTGCTGTCACACTTGAGTTTAATGATATCATTAGAGCCCACGGAATTCTAGAACCAGTCACTGTTTTGCCCAAAAATCTTCACGAAACGGTCCTATCCCACTATATTAATAGTGAGGTTGTCTTTTCATTGTCAACAGTTGTCTCTCCTCCCACTGGCAGACAACTTCTCTAACTCACAATGACATTACGCATCACGTAATATCTACAATTACAACCTAATGGTGTGACAGGGAAGAACTGCACAATTCACTTAAACTGAATGACAAACTGGTCTATTGATTTATTAATAGCACATAATTAGCTGACAATCAGTGAACTATTCAGGTTCAGTATCAGCAATACAACAGATAAGACTGTTAATAGACAAAATGTTAATAAACACCTAGTGAATTAGTAAATGACCTTTCTTTGCTAATCCCCCAAAGTTCTAACCATGCACACAAAGCTGCACGCCTACCCACCCATGGTTATACATACAGTCCCTCTCTCACCCATACCTTCTGTAGGAGATGTGGGTGCTTAATGTGTACCTGTGCTGTGCCTCACAACCTGCCAACACAAACACCAGGGAGAAAGCACCACACAAGGTCACATATGCACACCCGGTTGTGAGTCCCTGCATGTTGCACCCTGCACTGTCACTGCCCAAGCTGGATGCAGGCTGCTGGCAGTCAGGTAGGGAGAATGTTCTGCCTGGCCCAGACAGAGGTTTTGATGCCAGTGGGCGAACATACAAAAGTATGAAACCCAATTTGCCCGGTTTTGGCTGCTTGCTCTGTTCCCGCTGTTCTCCCTCCTGTTACACAGTTTCATTTGTCCCTTATGCTTCTTTCCGAATTGGCACTAGTCTTGTTTCAAACTCACTCTGTAAGTCCCTGGTTACTGTTTAATCTGGCTGATGGTTGTCATCCCCTTTAATATGATCAGCTGTGGCATATGTACTCTCAGACAGTTTTGGATGCTTGAACTCATATTCCTATCTTAACAGCTGTTGTTGTTCAGGCCATTTTACCAAGGATGGGCCATGTGAGCACCCTTGCAAACAGAAAAACAATATTAGGAATTCTTTGAATATTCCTTCAGCGTATTCTAATGCAAATTGGATAACAGCATGTGTTCAGGTAGGGTTTTGCAGCAATGACAGGAGACATATGACATCCAATTCTAAAAGTATTTTGTACCACACTTCTGCTATTACTGTTAAGTACCATCTCATTCTCCTGCCTTGGTGCTCTGTACTCAAAAGCAAAGTGAAAATTACTTGAAAAGGTGTTCTTTGCAAAAAAAAGACGCTCTCCTATATAAATGTAGCTGTCAGTATCTCTAGTTTTAAATGAAATCCTCCTACTCGCAGCCAAGTGGAGATTTACTGGAAGGCAATTCAGAGGTTATCACCATTTTCCACCAGCTCCCTCTCCTCTGTGCAGTGCTGCTCTTGTTCCTACAGTTTCTTTCCAGGTCACCAGAGATGTCAGAGGACTGTGGTGCACCAGGACCATGGGTAGCCTTGAAGTGGATGCTGTTCCTTTTTGGATCTGTGCTCTTGTGGCGGTGTGCTCCCCCCTTGCCTCCGACTCCCCCTCCCTTGACCTCTTTCAAGTGATAACCACTTGTGGTGGTGGTGATAGATGTGTCTGGTCATGAAGGATGCACCCACTGGATGTGGGGGGAGACAGATAACAATACAATAGCCAAGGGCTACTGTGGAATGTGCCTATCTAAGCACAGTGGTCAGTATGCAAATATGACTATGAGCCAATTATCTTACCCCCATAAATGGTGAGCAGTCCAAGAGCCCTTTGAGCTCTCCCACACGGCAGCGGGCTGCACGCCAGGATCTCCCCTTGAGCAGGGACGCCTCTCAAGGTTACTCCTCGAGGCTGAGTGATTTCTTACTGCAACAGATTCTCAGTAAGTGGCTAACAGCATGCTAAACTTTGAAATCTTAGCTAAGTGACATAAAGGCTTCATTGCACATATATAATCCTTTAGACATAAACCGTTGACCAAGTTTGGGACTAGGA